TTTTTTATATATTATACTTATATTATTTTTTGGAATCTGTAAAAGTCTTAAGCAGAACTTTGTGAGCTACTACAATAGTTTTCAATTTTCATTCAGTGCATTATCTTGTTAATATAATTCTCTCCATATATACACATATATATTGCTTTAAGTCTTTGAAGTTAATCGACTTCAAGTGTGTTTAGCAGTGGGAGTCTGCGATGGCTTGATGGCTTTGTCCTGCTTTGGCTGCTGTTCCACAATCGCCAGTTGTTCCGCACTCCTTGACGCCTTCAATATGCATCTAAGTGCATGAAGCTCTCCCTTTCTCTAGTTCCTACTCATGCTCATTCTCTTTCTGGGCTACACTCTGGGCTTGTCAGTTCCTCAGTATTGCCAACAAAACGTTCGTCATTTGCTTTTGTCTTTCGGTTTGTTTGCACACGCCGTTTCTTGCAGCAATCCTTTGCACTTGCCAGTTGCCACGCCCCCGCCCTATGGCCCCTAGTCCGGCCTAGCCACACCCTCACCTTCGCCGCAGCTCGCCTCAGCTCGCCCCAGCTCAGTTCAGCTCAGCTCGGCCCCTGCAGCTGTCAGTCAATGTGTCGTGTCACAGTGTCTCTCCATCTGTCTGTCAGTTGCATGTCTCTGTCTATCTACGTGACATCAGCCCAGCGAGTTTTGCTCCTTGCGCAACTGCTTGCAAGCTCAAGCTCGAAGGATGTCGCCTGGCCAAGGCGAAGGATGCTGCCAGAAGATGTTGCCGCTCCTGCTCCTGCTGCTGCTGCTGCTGCTGCAACCGATGGATGGATTTTTGGATTCGCAACTTGCACTTGGATTACAAGTCTGATTTTGATGCGTACATGCTGTACTCGGTCTCTGTGTGTGTGTGCGTGTGCGTGTGTTTGTGTGTGGTTGGGTGGTTGAGCGTGTGGCCCACAAAATATTGCACTGGCTCAGCGAGCTTACTCAAACTACTAAATGGGTCAATATCCACGTGCCCAGCCACACACGCCCACACACACTCATACATATATATCTACTTACTCTACCACCCACAGCCAGCCATACACACACACACACACACACACACGCGTACACATTGCTCAAGTTTTCTTATGCTTTTGTCTTTTGTCCTTTTATTATTTTATTCCTGGCCTTGTTTTAATTCACAGCGTCGTCTGCTGGCGCGTCATCCTCTGGCATTCTTGGTAGACTTTGTCGTCCTTTGGCAGCGTCTCCAGCAACATTGTCTCAGACGCATCCTTGGCTAGAATGTTTACACACAGCTACGGATACACACACACACACACATGAGTGCGTATGTGTGTGTGAGTTGTAAGTGACATTTGCAATTTTCAAACTATTGAATGAGTGACAAGTTCTGCAGACACGATTGAAACTGACAGCTACAGCTTTAGATTTAGCTACAGCTGAGGGGCAGTCCTAGGTCCTCTCTGCACTTTGTACTCCTTACCTAAGCCCCCAGCCCCCCACTAGACCCGCTCAGCAAACTCTTAAATACTCAGCTTTAACGTTTCGATCGAGTCTAATTGACTTTCACGCATGCAGACGCCTTAATTATTTATTCGACTGCCAAAACTTTAAAACATTGAATAAGTGTGGGATCTGTTAGCATGAATGTTTGACTGGGAGGAAATACTGTATACTTGTGTCGAGCCAGCAGGCAGCAGACAGCAAAACAAACTATTAAAGCCTCAAATAGACATTTCTTCATATACAACCAGCTCTAGTACTTGTTCAATTTTACCTCTATAAATTTTACTAGTTAAACTTCTTTTAGTAGTTGCTTAAGTGTCTCTTGAAGTGCATATTAGATCGTTAAGATGGCAATTAAATGCAGCCGACTTTTGCTGCAGTTAAGTCTTTTGTAAGTTAAGCGAAATCACATAAAGGTGTCTAGCAGAGCCGATTGTGCTTGCATTTTACGTGTGGCAGCCAATGCATAGTGATCACTGTAGTAAACTGTTCCGGCATTGTGGATGCTGCAATGCAGCAATTACTCAGGCTAATGCGTCATTTGCATAATATCAATGCGAATATAACAATGAAATGCCATATTAAATAAAGGCTAAAACGCACTGACTTGTCGCATGTCTAGTTGATGGCATGACTGACAGACGAACAGACTGACTGACTGACTGACTGACTGACTGACTGACTGGTTGCATGACTCACTGCCCATTAACAATTTAATTTGTATTGTCGCAATCGGAGCGGGCAGAGGTGGAGCTCGCCTTGCCTGGCCGTACGTCAATGTCAACATCAATGTCACATCCATTGAGGGCCAACAGGCAGACGGACATTTTGACAAATAATTGAAACCGCATTTTGTAATGAATTCAACGCATGGCCCACAGTTAGAGGCCCAGACTGAACTCCAACTCCAGCTGCAGCTGCAGCTGCAGCTACAGCTACAGCTACAGCTACACCTGCGCCATGTGGAGTCTGTGCAGAGAGACGAGCACACATGCAGGCATAAACACTAACACATACATACATATATGTATCTGCGCTCATGTCCACTTGATCCGGGGTCTGCGTCGCTCTGTCACTTGCCAAGAGATTTATGCTGTATAAATTCAATACTGATAATCGCCAAGATGAGCCAGGCTTATTTTTGGCGCTCTTAAGTGCTGGGAGGTGCGTCCATGCCGACGACAACGACAACGACGACGACGACGACGACTCAACGATGACTCCGTCACTCACGCATCATCCGCGCCTAAGTCGTTAACTGATGATTTTATTGGCCAGCTGAATTCGCCGCACAACGTGTCCGGCTTGGCGCTCTTAAATGTCAATCGTAAATTTGAGTTGAAGCATCGCGAATGCAGCGCAAAGCAAGTGGGCTTGATTTGATCAACTTAAGCAGACTATCGAATGCACTCTTGAATATGTGGATTTTGGCAAGAGATTTTCTTGATAATAGTTTTAGATAAATATTTCAAGAAATATATTCCAATTAATATATATACATATATTTTGTACACAATTTACATTCAAAATGTTTGTAATTTTTATACATCTATATTTTAAATACAAAAAAAGATTTTTAAATTTGAGTTTTTATATAATATTTTTGAAAAATAAATTATTTCTAATTCTTTCACATTTTTACCAATTTATTAAAAATTTTAAGAGTAAAAAAAGTATATATAAACAAATAAAATATTTAATTAAATATTTTGTAAATGCTAACAATTTGTTTTATACTTATACAACTTTACTACGAAATATTTTCATTATATATTTTATTTCATTTACATTTACATTTCATTTACATTTTTTAATTTTTCTTAGAATAAAAATGTTTATAATTTTTTCTATTTTTGTAAAGTATATGTATCAAAAATGATATAATTGGCATTATTATATAAAAAAACGCATTAAAAGATTTAATTTAATTAAAAACAAATGAAATTAAAGCTATAATAGTTCACCTGCCTGAAGCGTATTTGAAAATAGTTTTCCCAAGGCTTATAGAACCTTTGAAGTAGAAGACCACACACACTCACTCTCGAGCATAGCGAAACGTGATTTATTAGTATTAACACCATTCAGAGCTTTGGTAGGGGCCATGTCCCAGGCCATGGTCAAGTGAGAAATGGGAGGAGGACAGATGCACTTGATTGAGGAAGCTGAATTAGTCATGTGGCTAACCCGTTTGGGTAAGTGCTCATATTTACATAAGACGAACTCATTAAGCGAACCCTAACCAAATAAAAAAGAGAGAAAGAGAGGGAGAGAGAGAGGGAAAACAAAATATATCCATATATTAAGCGTATTACGGCCGCTGACAGCTGCCATCATATTCGAAAGCCCCATCATCAGCATCATCATCATCATCAGCATCAACAAAGTCAATTAGCATAAAATGCGTTATCATTGATCCAAAAATAACTGCAAAGTATTGATGGAAGTTTATATTTTTGGCGAAAACAATTGAACGACTTTATTTTTTATCGAAAACTCCCAACGGCAGCTGCTGCTGATGAGGATGAGGAAGGGACTTGACGATTCGGCAGATCAGCTGTTTAGGAATGAAATGGGAGACGGCGGAGGCTCGCTGGGCTCCTCAACTCTTTGCCAGATATGTGAGCCAATGGGAAATATGACGACTTTTATTTGCTCTCCGATCTGCAGTGTTTCATAGTGAAAGCCATCGGCAATGCAGACAGTAGTCTTCTTCTCGGCCTCAAATGGAGTGATTGGCTCCAGGCTGACATTGCAGCTGTTAAAGTAGAAGGTGTTGCAGTTCAGAGTGGCGACCAGCTGATAGAGACTCTCCACGCATTCGTTCCAGACGCTGATGCTCTCGAATTGCAAACTCTCCTTGTTGCACCACTCAACGATCTCGAGGTTGTCGTGGAATGATCGCAAACAGACGACGCCAGTGGGAGGGGTGCCCAGCATTTTGCTCTCGCAGTCGCAGACCACAATGGGCGAGGAGAATGGGGGCGGCACTCTGTTCTCCGTGGCGCTAACAATCTGCACATCCAAGCTGGTGAGCACCTTCTTAGTCTTGCGGTAATTGGGATGCAAGGCGGTTTTAAAACTCAGCGGCCTCATTCGATCTTGGATGCGCGCAATGATCTCCTCTCGAATGCTCTGCTCAACGAACACCGTGCCCACAGCCCGCGGTGCGAAGGGATTGTGAAGCGAGTCAAGTAGAAAGTGTAGAGCGCTGTGGATATCGCCCTGCTCATAGAGAATCATGAGCTGGGAACTGAACGCTTCTGCCACGTGCAGATCGGAAGCATCGTAGTTACAGGTCTCATTCGAGAAGGCGTCCAGCTCACAAAACAAAAGGTCCTCAGCTAACGAGACGGGCGGCGTTGGTGCATTCGATTTTATATCGCGGATCTTCGAGCAACGCCTCAGTCTCTCCTCATCAGTTAGCAAGTTTTGCACCATCTGACTGGTTACTGCCACATCGTTCGGCAATTTCTCCGAGGTCTCCGATCGCTGCGTCAGTGACTCATACGATGGTATGGAAACTACATCATAGCTATTGCGACGCCCTTCGTTCATCATCTTTGCAGCTGGTTAGTGAAGGATTTTGTGTACTTAAGTAATATGAATCTATACTGTGTTTGTGTGAGTATTTCATTGAATTTTGGGTGAAAACTAATTGCTTGACATATTTCACTAACTAGATTCTAAAACTTATCCATTCGTAATTGAGCATTTACAGCTTTAGCTCCATCACCACATAACGAAAAAGTCCACAATCCTGCAGCAGGCTTACACAAATTCCTGTTGGGGGGAAAATAGCCGGTTTTTAGGCATGTTTAGGGCCAACAAATTGGCAAAACAAAAATCGCACGACGAATTATTTATTAATCGGCAAATTTATGATCAAATGTGACAGTAAAATTAAAATATCACCAGCAGATACAAAAGTGCATGCATAAATTGTGTTTGGGGTGCGAGCCACAAATACTTTTGGATTTGTTGAAATTAGCATTAAAATATTATAAATATAAAGTATATCCAAAAAGTATAATACATGTTTGTGCAAAATATTAAACCCTCTCTTTTTTTCTCGCTCCTTTTAATAGCAATGCGGATTGTCCTCGTTTCATGGGCGCTTACTACAAAGAGCATAGAATGTTAATTTTTTGCATAAACAACAACAACAGCAACAGCAACGGCAACGGCAATAGCAATTACTAATAATACAATTAAAAACATTCAAAACCGCAGAATATTTTTGGTATTTTATAGAGGAGTGGGGGTGGGCGCAGCGCGGTATTTGTGGCGGGAATTTTCGGCCCACAAAACAAAAATACCATAGAAGACAGAAACTCAAATTCCCTAATGAGATAGGTGTAGTAAAAATATGTTAGATAGTAAAAATAAATATGTCAAATTGAGATAAATCACTTATGATATCCTAAGTTCCCAATAATAAAGGAAATTTTTGCATACTTTACATTATTTATAGCTACAAAATTAAATAAATTTTCTTTACCATTTGAAATACCAAAAAATATATATTGATAGCCAGAAAACAATGCTTATATAGATAGAGAGCAACTCAGTTGACCGTGCAAAGCCGGTTAATATCTGCACTGGCAACAACAAAAATATAACAAATAATAACAATGCTGATGCTAACGATGACTATTTACATTTATCAAGAGTAATTATAATAAAATGCCAAAAATAAAATTTAAATTAATATAGAAAGCCGATTATAGAATAGGGACCCACAAAACACGCGACACAGACACACACAATGCGACTCTAATAAAATGCCATTGACACAACAACAACAACAGCAGCAACAACAACAATAGCAACTGTCAAATATAACAAATCCCATAAATCAACAATGCAAATTTGTTCACACAAAAAAATAAAATAAAATAAAATAAAGTGCAAAAAATGAAAATAAATAAAATTGAATTTCAGCTCTACATTTATAATAAATAATCGTATGGGAATAAAAGTCTATGTACATGCACTTGATATTAATATGTGCAGATTACACTTAGCTATGTTAAGCATGTTGAACAACCAAAACAGTTATATTCACATTATTGATTGATGTTTCATATCGAGTGATGATGTATATAAGATCAGATAATAATACCCAGTTTGAAGATCGTATGGTATATATAAATATGCAAAGTCTGCATGGAAAGTATAACAGATTTTTTTCCTTATATATCATATCATACGCTTTTATCCACACCATTCTTCTTGCACTAGTTCCTCCTTCATAACGAGAGAAAGTCTCAGAAGACCTGTTCTCGATTCATTACTTTATTTTCGGGATAAGCAGAATCTTGAGCCCCTGCTCCGGCTCTGAATTAAGTCCAACCAGCAAATTGTATGCATAATAAACTTAGCAACATGCGTCAAAATTTAGGTGAACTTTTCGATATCTTAAATAAAATTATTGTGTATTAAAAACATGATCACAACAGCTATAAACTATTCCCTCGTAGTTCTACTCGGAGTAAGCATATATTACAATAAATAATATTTACGACTTTACAAATCCCAAAGCTCTAATCGCTGACTCCTCTTAAAGTGTATCGTTGTGGTAACAGTCCGCATAACCCTGCCTAGCATATTGGACTATGATGAACCGAGTTTGTTCCAGCAGATGAAATTCAATGTGATCAAAGTGTACATATCGTTGACGGCCATAATAGTGCTTGAAGTGCTACTGATATACTTGAGTGTTAGTGCGATGTATATGGTGTCAGAGTGGCTGTCTGTATTGGTAAATGAGCCCACATACATATATAAGAGTTTATCTGCTTGAATGGTTGTTCTATTCGCCTGCCTTAGTATGTGCCTCTGCTGATATATGCCATGCACCGCACATATGCGCTATGTGTGGTGCAGCTGCAACCACTCATCAGTGGCGACGACGCGAACCTCTTGCTTCTGCAATACTACCAGGATTACTTTGAGAACGATGACCCGAAGTGGTTGGACTTGCAGGCGAAGGTATGTGGGCTTTCTTTTTGGGAAATATACATCTAGTATACGCTGCTTTTCTCAGATGGGCTGTTGCGGCTTGAGCGGTCCTCAAACTTACCTGGACTACTTGCGCAGGGTGCCTGCCGTGTGCTATCGCCAAGGTATTCTAGTTACTCGCGGATGTGAGTATGTTGTCTACGATGCATTCCAAGGGGTCCATCAGTTATCCAAGCTGCTCATCTGGCTAGCACTGGGCATAGAGCTCGTAACTTTACTGCTTTACATGAGGCTGATAATTAGGAAATATAGATATTTAATATGTAGAAGAATTGTTGCGTATAATGATTTTAAGAGGTATTGAGCGAATAGAGTATGATTGAAAGAGAAATAAAGTTTGTTATAATAATAATATATATGTATGTATATATGTATATAGAGTTTATATACATATGTAAGCTGCTGGGTCAGTTATCTTCCCCACTAAAGCCACCTACTCAGTCATTCACTTATCATTGGGAATCTCTAAGGACCTACCCGCTATTTATAATATTTATTTAGCTAAATGTTTCTGATAAAGAACCGTTATTCTGTTAATACGTGTGATTTATACTGCGACAGATAAAAGCAATTCAGATATTTATGCATTTATAAATAAATTTTTAGAAATGCCAATTTTATCAATGCTCTTTTTCTGGCAGTTCGAAAGGGGGTGTCCAAAGGGCGGTGAGGGGGCGGCTGACAGACCTGAGAGAGACAAATAAAATAAATTGAAATTAGCTTCCTTTGTTGCCGTTGACAATTTGAATAAAATTAATATAAATTTTGCGCCCATTTTTAATTAATAAATGTCAAATATTTCGCGTATGGGTATTTATTTGCAAATTTATTTGTCTGATTTGTAAGTTGTTTTTTTCACTATATATACAAGCATGTATATATGTATAAATGTATTTTTTCTGCTGCAATATTTTACGGAAATTTTAATTTTACTTTTGTGTTTGTTTGCAAATGCAGCGATAACAAATTTCACAGCTATTTGTGATGGAAAATGAGCGAGAAAGTGAGAGAGTGGGAGAGAGCGAGCATAAAAAGAGCAAGCGGAAATATACTTTGAACTTTCAAGCGGAAGCGGAAGTCAACATTAGTAGGCAAAGCTGAATTTTCGCCATTGGCCAGCAGCAACAATGCGCTGCAATTATTAATGCTGGCTTCCAAAATTCCTATTCGGTTTTTTTTTTTCATCTAGTAAATTCTATAATATCAGGAAATCATTTACAAAATTTATTACCCAATGGCTTAGGTCAACCAGGATATTTAGATGTTGAATGCTTTGATGCTGACAATTGAGCAAACCAATTTATTTATATAAATCGATGTGCATAATTTTTTATTGAATTTCCCATGTGTGAACTTTAATTATATATATCATCATTTAAGCAGCTTAGGCTTGATTCTAAAAATTCTAATTAAACTCGTTCACTAAGTGAAAGGAGACAAGTTAAGATATAATTTTGATATTGTATATTAATAATATTAATA